CCCCAGCGCCAGTGTGTGGAGTACGCTCTGAAGGCGCAGCCCCTGCGCCGCTACATCCCCAAGAACCGCACCCAGTACCGCGTGTGGGCCATGGTCAACTCCACGGCCTTCGAGTACATCATGTTCGTCCTCATCCTCCTCAACACCATCGCCCTGGCCGTGCAGGTGAGGGGGGGACACACCTGGGGGACACAGGGGGGACATGGAGGGGACAGTGCCAGACCCCCGTGTGTCCCCTCACAGCACTACGAGCAGTCCAAGCCCTTCAACTACGTGATGGACCTGCTCAACATGGTGTTCACGGGGCTCTTCACCGTGGAGATGGTGCTCAAGATCATCGCCTTCAAACCGCGGGTACGGCACAAGGGGGGTGACAAGGGGGTGACACAAGGGGGGTGACACAATGGCATCCTCACCACCTGCCACCCCACCCCAGCATTACTTCTGCGACGCCTGGAACACCTTTGATGCCCTCATCGTGGTGGGCAGCGTGGTGGACATCGCCGTCACCGAGGTCAACGTGAGTTGCTCTCCTTGTCCCTCCTGGTTCAGGGTGGGTTGGTGTTTTGGGGTGGGTCTGGATGTCTGGGTCTCCTCCTGGTCGATGTCCTCATGTCTGTCTGTCTGTCTCAATCATCTCTGTCACTTCCATCTCCATAATTTCCATTATCTCCATAATTTTCATCTCGATCATCTCCATAATTTTCATCTCAATCATCTCTATCATCTCCATCTTCATCATCTCCATCATCTCCATCTCCATTATCTCCGTCATCTCCGCTCCATCATCTCCATCTCCGTCATCTCCATCTCCGTCATCTCCGCTCCATCATCTCCACTCCATCATCTCCATCATCTCCATAATTTCCACTCCATCATCTCCATCATTTCCACTCCATCATTCCCATCATGTCCATCTCCATCACCTCCATCTCCACTCCATCATCTCCATCGTTTCCATCGTTTCCATTTCCATCGTCTCCATCTCCATCATCTCCATCGTCTCCATCACCTCCATGATTTCCATCTCCATCACCTTCATAATTTCAATCTCCATCATCTCCATAATTTCCATCATCTCCATTTCCATCATCTCCACCATCTCCATCACCTCCATGGTCCCACCTGCCTCTCATAGAACGGGGGCCACGTTGGTGAGGTACAAGGACCTGTCCCCACCTGGGGGCTCTTTTGGGGGGTCTGCTCAGGTATTTTTGGGGTTCCCCTGACCCCCTGTCCCCGCAGAGCTCCGAGGACTCCTCCCGCATCTCCATCACCTTCTTCCGCCTCTTCCGCGTCATGCGCCTGGTCAAGCTGCTCTCCAAGGGCGAGGGCATCCGCACCCTGCTCTGGACCTTCGTCAAATCCTTCCAGGTAGGGCGGGG